GGTGTTACACAGCGGATTGTGCTCATCTGGTAACAGGAAAACTGCATCCCCTTTGCTCAGCCCAGGATGAAAGTGGAACCTGCTGTTTCAACCAATCCTTCCGAGCTGTTTGCAATTACAGATCTGTCAGGACAGGACCTACAGCCCTGCCAGAACCTTTTGGTCAGGCCTGGATGCTCCTCAGGTGCCATAAACCATGACTTGTTAGCCAGAAGGAGAATGTTTAGGCTGGGCCTGCAGTGTTCCTGCAGAGGACCCAGAACCAGTCCCAGGGACAGAGATTTCCCACACTGAGCATCTCTCCCAAGTCTCAAGGACAGAATTTGGAGCACCTTCCACCTCCAGCAGCCACGTGCTTTATCCCCATCCCCAGTGCAGCTGAGGGCAGGGCAAAGGGACACCCTGGGATCAGATTCCCTGGGAGTGCCCCCAGGGAAGGAAGGAGCAGCAGCCACGGACTGGGGGCGGTGGGAACAAAGCACAGGGAGGGCAGAGATGCATCAGGGACTCACGTTACAAAAATAGTGCTGACTGGTTCAATAAATTTACATCTCTATTTCTGTGAGTGACGAGTGTTTACACCACACATGGAAGGCACCCCAGGTGAAGCAGTTTTTCGGTATTTGTTTACAATTCTGTGAAAAGACGGACAAAGTGTCAACTTTCAAATCAAAATCGAGCGTTATAATGAGAAATAAATACATACTTTACTATTTTATTGTGGGTTCCTGAACCCTTACAAACTTCAACATATACAAATAGTTTCAAAATGACACTAACACAGAAGAGAGTAAGTCTAGACAGATATAATGATCAGCTAAGTCATTCGTTATGTCATAAATGTTGTGCCTAAAGTACAGAAATCATTTTAAAATGCAATCGATTGGCCACAATATATAAATCAAAATATTTCCTTACTCCAGAACTGTGATGAATGAGTTAAAGCTGGATGATCTGTAGTGCTAAGATACACTCTCCCTCCACAATATCCAACAAGTAGAAACCAGTAAACATTCAAGATTAAAGTATAAACAGTAGAAAAATGAAGGTAGCAATTGTTGTAATAAAAGGGTGCCAGAACCACTTAAACCGGTAGACATCAGGACAGATGTAACATTACTAAAAGTATTTAGACAATACTACTTTTGGGATTAAAAGGTTACCAAAAGTGGTAAATCAGCCTAGTTCAGAGAGGGTGTTTTCTTTCAAACACATGAAGGTTTTAATTAAATATGTCTATTGAGACATTTGTCCAAAACAACACAATACCCTGAAATTTCCTGTACTCCACACAATAGCCTGGGACAGTCAGAAGAGGCAGATGGTCATATTCCATTCTGTTACTCACATCCAGATGTTATTAAAACAGCTGTAGGGACCAGCCCCAACCAAAAAATAAGAACCCCCCCACATACTCTGTTACTACAATCTGGCCATTGCTTTTTGAAATGCTCCTATGTCCTCATCCTGAATCCATGAAATAGTTTCCATATCCTCCCATATATGCTAACTGGCTTTTTAAAGTTTTACCCATGAAGTCCATGGGTAAAAAAAAAAACATAAAACCTTCATTGTAAACACAAAGCTCTACGTTATAAATATGTCAATCATGGTAACTATGTATATTGTATATAAAATTAAATATCTTCTGTTTGCCAAGTATAATTTAAAAAGGACTATCTGTGGCTAGTTATAAAAAAATATTTATTAACCCATAGAGATTAAAAGGCAATTTAACTAACTCGTCTATCCAGCACATATGAAAGAGCTGTACTGGGATTCTGGATTTACCTAATCACATTCCTATGATAAATAGACAACTTTCATTTCTGGGCACATATAAGAACACTTTTGAAACCTGCATATCCCAAAAGAAAATGAGATTGTGTTGATTAAAGGCTATCAGAAATCACAGTGTAAGCAGATTTTTTAAAGATTATTTTTATCATACAAATGGTTAAATTATAGACAGATTTAAAAAAGACAACACAAAAAAAAAGACCCAAAACAAGGAAACCCTTTCAGGTTGGCAGCACCACTGTGACTTGGTCAAACAGATCTATCAAGGTGGCCAAGTTACTAAGAGGGAAAATGATATACCAGGAAAAACCTCAGAGATTTCCTGAGTATTTGTATAAATTCATTTTAACCAAAAATACAGAGAGGAGTATGGCATCATTTCTACAAAGTACTTCCAAACATCCCTCTGATTTTTGTACTGATTTTGGTATCATTTTTAAATTAAAATCCATGCCCATGACACCTCTGTCTGCACAGTGGTTTTGGGCTTTGTTGGGCCCCCAAACAACAACCAATCCATTATTTCATGCTACAAACAGAGCCCTCCTGAGCAAACACCTCTGATCCAAGGTCTGCCTCTCCTTTATGAATTGCAGAAGCACCTTTCCTTCTGCTGTTGGGGATTTTTGTTGTTCAAATATCACTTTGAAAGGACTGGATTGCTAAGAGTCCTTCTCATATCTCACATTCACGATCAGATTGTCCCTACCTTTGCATTTATCCTAAATACCTGCTGAGGATGTTTGGCTCCAGAGCTTCCAGCACAAGAACTGTTCTTTACACTCTTTCATGCACAAAGCTGTTCAGTGTCTCAGCTGAGCAGGACAGAGGACATTATTTTCTACATTATCTGAATTGCTATTAAGTTTGGGTTTGTTTTTTAATTATGCCCTAAAAACTTCCTTATTTTTGGCGAGGGTTTTTCCTCACAAAAGAAAACAAGAAGAAGTGTTTACAAAGTTCTCATGAGACAAGAAAACAACAGACATAGAACAAGACTAAGGAAGAGGGGGAAAAAGTTGCATCAACAAAACCACATATTAGGTAAGCATTTGCTGTGCCTGCACATGCCCTAAATAGCACAGAGGTGACAAATACCAAATTCGTGTAGGGACAATAAAGTTCATGAAAAACTAATGGTTGATTCCCTCCTAACAGTCCCAATGCAGCCTGGAGCTCATCAGTTCTGCTGCTGTGTCCCACAGCATGGCAGGAACCCCCAGGTGTTAGGAAGGGACAATCATCATGAGAGAAAGAAAAATAAACTATTATCTTAGGGAAGAGTGGAAACTTTCTCTTCCTCTTTGTGGAATCAACAACGAAACACACACAGATGGAACAGCTCTGAGATGCACAGGGCAACTCACGGGACAGAGGCTGGGAAGCAGCACCACACACTGACCCTTTGACTGAAATGCTTTGGAAGAGGCATCTTCCAAGTGCAGGATGAGGAGCTGCTCCCAAGGCACAGAGCACTGCTGCTGTTGTGCTTCCCAACACAGAGCCCAGGATGAAATACAGACATGGGAGCTCTGGAGCTGGGACCTTGGCTCCCAAAAAAGGCAGAGGGAGATAATCTCTAATCCTCCCAACCTCTAAGCGTGTGGTTTCTACCAGAAATCCTAAACACATGGAGAACACTAGCTCCTTTCCACAATCCCACGGGAATGGAGAACACTTCCCCAGCACAGCCAGCCTCACAAACCAGCAGGAAAGGAAAGAGCACCACAGTTCCAGGGATGGGGACACTGAGTGCTGCTCCTCCTGACACAGAGCAAGGACGAGGCTGAACAGGAATTGTTCTGAAAGCATTGGATCCATGAGGCAGGAATGTACAAACCCAAGGAACACGGGGACAGGAGGAAGGAATCAGCTTTACTGAGACCCTTCCCTCAGCTCCTGCCTGTGGTTCAGGAGTTCCTGAACCTTTGCACAGCACAAGGGTGTGACACACCCGAGCTGAGCTGAACACAGAGCAGGAAAATACAGATCCCTACAACGCCATACAACCATTGCTGTGCCCTGGCTCCAGTCAGATCCTATTGTTTAATATTCTGATATCTGTGCACAGGTGGCAAAATCCCCAGTCAGTTCTACACCCAGAAATGCAGAGATTCCCTGTCTGAGTGGACCACAGAGGACTGATCTGAACCGTTACAGTTTCAAGCATCCCGTTCCTACAAGGTTCAACTGTTTAGCTCTGATTTAGTTCTATTTACAGTGGGGTTTGAGTCCCTTTATGGAGCTAAACAGCACTTTTAAGGATTAAAAAAAAACTATCCCTCTGTGCTAGCAATTACAAGCAAGACTAACTGGCTGAGAAAAGCGATTTAATGTCACTTTTCTAAACAGGTTTCAAAAAAAAATTAAACTTTCTATCCTATTTTCTTCTTATAAGATTTTTTGTGATGACTGCAGTTTGGACAACAGTCTTAAAATAGTACCTCTATGTAAAATTAAAGTCAGGGAAGAATGAACCATGTATACATCAAATGATCCTAATATTTCAAATTTAGTTGTCTCTCACAGCTACTTTAATTCCCTTCTATATAATCCAAATAGTAAATAATGTCTCTGCAGAGTAATAAGTGCTCAAGATTTTTTAGAAAGTATATTCTGTACAATACTAAAATCATCTTTGGTCCCAAATATAAGGAAATTACAAATTTACAGTTGCTTTTGTTTTACAAAGTGAATCAGTAATTTTAAAGTTAATGCTGTGCTAAGCTCAAGTCATGATGGAAATAATGGCATTTTCAGCTGAAGAAAACACGCAAAAGCCCTCAAAGCCACTCCAGTATATTATAATAGGTGCCCAAGGATTACACTTTACTGGAAGTGTAACTGTACCACTCCACTTGTCACTGCAGCTAAAAGGTAACTGTGACCTCACTCCAAGGAAAACTCAGTGAAGTCATCCCTTTTCTAGGCAAGGAAAGGTGCAGGGATTTGAAAGACACCAAATTCTTATATTTATAGAGGGACAAGGCCTCTCACAGCTCTGCCACAACCAGGATCAGCCCAGGGGAGGACCCAGGAATCCTCCATCCCATCACTGCCATCAGCCAGCAAAGGGACAAAAAGCCTTTGCCACACATCACCCACCTTGTGTTCCCTGATTTCAGGTGGGAGTTCCACTCTAAACACATGGATTTTCTGGAGAACAATATTTTGTATTTTAGTTGGTGGTTTTAGTTCACTTTTGGTTTGGGTGGGGGATGTTTCGGGTTGGGTTTTTTTTGGTTTTGTTTGGGGTTTTTCACAGTCTTTATACAAACTGCTTTAATGCCAGTTTACAAGTCCAGTCCAGGTATGCTTGTGCTACTTTTAAAAAGGTTCTTTTAGGGTTTTTACTGCCAGTTATTAAAAACTGACCAAATCTCTACATACATAAACTCTCTACAAAAGTATCTCCAAACTCTTCTTGCAAACTGGGCCAGGCAGTGCTGACAAACACAGGGCTGGAACAACTCCACTGGCAATAACAAACTCTTATTTCTTACCACTGAACATGGAAGTGTCATTTCCTGCTCAAGGAATGCACAGCAACCCTGGTGAGACACCCCCACAATAAAATGCCTCTGTTCTAAACCCAGCACCAGGCTTAGAGGGTTCAATCTTCTTTTAAACTGACCCCTTTGGCATTAACTTCCAATGAAGCACAATAAAATGTTACTACAGAACTGATAAACCACTGCTCACTAAGAAAATGCAAATTTTCTTTAAAACCATCAGTAACTCTGAATTTTAATCTCCATCTCAGCCACCCAAGTGAAATGCACTGCAGATGTCAGTGCACTGAAAATTCAAAGACATCACCTTTGTCCCCTTTTTCCCCACACATCAAGATAAATCTCTGCTCTCAGTTTGAATGCTGCAGAATTAGGGTCACACCTGTCCCTACCCCACTTCCCTCCAGCATTAAATATCCCAGGCACTTCTACTGATCTCCTGGTTGGTGTATCCTGGTTTTCATGGTTAAAACACAACCTATTTCTTAAGGCTCCAGGTACCTGCAGTGACCCCCTGCAGAGTACAGCTACATCAGAACACAGATCCAGGCATACCTGGCACACAGTCACTCAGCCCCACTAATCCCATGGATTTTCATTTTCCTCACATCAGAAAGGAATTCAGCTCCAGACATCTCCTCCCCCACAGTGTCTTCATGTGACATGCAGGCAGGCAAATGCCAAATAATGAATTACATGGACAAAAACACCAAGCAGAGAAACAGAAAAACATCAAGAGACATCTTCCCAATAATATTATGGTATTATTAGGAACAGAATTTGAGGTTTAAGTAAAGAAAAATGTAATTCATTCACTGGAAGTACAATTAAAATAAGAAAATTTCAGTTAGGTAAAACTATTTCTAAACAAATCAATACAACCATATTATCCTCCAATTAGCTAAATTCATTTTCCAAAGAAACATTTGGGGGAAAAATCTGCAGAAACATCTACTTCAAAAAAAATTAAATCAGGTTTACCTACTACCAATGGTTTTAATTTTAGAACCACCATCCTTCCAAAAAGAAACATTTCTCTTACATGAATCACAACTTTGCAACCTTAGAAACACTTTATAAGCACATCATAATTTTTTGCTAGTTCTTGCTTACCCTGGGCTTGGAGGGAAAGCAAGTTCTAGCAAAAACTTCTAGAAATGTTGAACCTTAAAATAAAAAAAAAATTAAAAAAAAAGGGGGAAAAAAAATAGAAAGCCATGGCTGGAATTAAGTCTATTGGATGACAACCCTTTCGTTCTCTACTGTGTCCCTCAAACCCCTTTTCTCCACCTGTCTCCCATTTTGGAATGAAAAATAGAACATATCCCACCATTAGCACAGAACCACCTCCTTGCACTGGTGCATCCCAGGGACCCCCAGCAACTGCACACGAGTTCAGAGCTGGCCAAGGGCACACAGGAACTGCAGGAACCACCCCAAACACACAGGAACTGCAGGGGCACAGGAACCACCCCAAACACACAGGAACTGCAAGGGGCACAGGAACCACCCCAAACACCAGGAATGCTTCCCAGCTCCTCCAGTCGAGTGTGCCAGCAGGAGATCCTGCGGATGGGGCTCTGTGGGGATGGACAGACACAGTTTGCTGGACAGGGGACGTGGCTGAAGTTATTGCTGTTTGCCCCTCACCTCCTCCTGGTGGGTTCCTGTCCCGTGTGAGCCGCCCCAGGCGTGCTGGGGGTGCTGGTCCCGAGCGTTTGCGGCAGACGAAGAACACGGATCTCCAGGGAGGGAAGGAAACCACTGCACAGTCAATCCAGAACAGTAACATACTTCAAAACATATATATAAAATATATTATATAAGCTATATAATATATGCATATACATATGTAGAGATCTTGAATGGCTCTTCCTTTTGAACGACCATCTCCTGCCTCCAGCCAACAGCTCCCGACTCAGCGGCACACGCACAGGGCTGGGCATCCTCTGCCACCCCCTGATCTTCCTTTTCCTCCGTAAATAAAGAAAAAACCCTTATTCCATGAGGGAGTCAAGCACTTGTTTTCCCTTTGCAGTCCCCCTGGAAGGTCTGTCACGCGTCCAGGCGCTGGATCTCCGGGCGATGAACGACCTCCCTGGACTCTGTCCGAGCGCGGATGTAGTCGCTGGTCTGTCGGCTGCTCTGCTGCCTGTTCACTCGCCACTTCCTCACAGCCAGGAACGTGTTCACAGCATACACTGCCATTGCCAGGAAACCAAACACCTGCAGCGAGGACAAAGAGTTGTCAAAGACGGGTTTTGAGAACAAGAAGAAAAGCAGTTTCCCAACAAAGTCCTCAGAAGTTTAGTTTTCTGCGTTATTTGCACTGACAAATCATCACGGCCTGCAAAATTGATGCTTTTCTTCTTCAGTGAACTAGAGAATCTGCCAAAGTGACTAAGATCAAGGAAACAAAGTTCCCTGACTATCAACATGACAATTAAATCCTGGAGGAAGACCCTCTTGTAAAGGAAGCAGCTCTTCATCCACCAGCTCATTCCTGAGGGTGCACAACAGTGAGGGAATGACAGGAGGTGACCAGTCCAGGCCACTGGCCTGGAGAAGGAGTTACTCTGCAGTTCTTCCTTTATGCTTCTGCAGAACTGATGTATGATTTTCAAAACCAGGTTTGAAAAGAAAATTTAAAAGTTTGCCAACTCAAGCACAAAATTAATTTGCTTGAACTGACTGCTGTAGATTTAAAACCTTGAGGGGCTTCTATACTGACACCACAAAACAAAAAATCATCTGTAGTGAGCAAATACTCAGCAAATTCTGTGTAAACAGCTGCAATTTCTTCTGAATTTCTGGGTCTATCTTTTCCATAGGCTTAAAAAACAGAGCAGGATCATCTAAGCTGGCTACAGAGAAAGAAGCAAGGCCAGTTCAACTGTCAAGTGTTCTCTGCAAGCCATTGTTCTGCTTGTTCTTGCCTCAAGCCTTAAGACAAACAGCTCAAAGGACATTAATACTCTTAAAATAAGAATTATCTTACAGCAAACTGTAAAATTGAAGTAAATTGTGATGGCAAAGGCAACAGGTGTATTCAATTAATGAGTAAAAGTTAATCTTTAGTTTTGATATGAGTTAGATATAAAGAAGTTCAAATTCTTACCACAGCAGCAATTTCTGCTCCAGTTTTATGGTTTAAAGCAGCAAGTACTACAGAGGCAATGAAAAAGAAGAAAGTGCTGAGTCCAGTGTTGACCAGATCCTAAAAAAATAAATTCATTAGCATTACTAAATGATGATTCCTTGCTTCCTTTCATTAGAAGTGACAACACAGAAGGTTAGAACAAGAACTAGAGCAATTCCTCCCCACTTGCTATGGAGTTGATCACTTGTACAAAAGAAGGCCAAGATTGTTGCCCAGGATCAGGGCTGTGACCTGAGACACAGAGCAGCAGGGCAGCCTCTGCACACATCATCCCATCTCTGCTGGGTTCATACTGAAGGACTGGCAGCATAAAGAATGACTAAAGCTGTTCTACCTCAGCTGGCACTGAAGTAACCTGAATGTCAAACTTTAGCACTCCAGGAACCCCTTGTTCTCTCTCACATCAGCACTCAGGGGCTTTTCTACACATTTTTGAGCCCTTCACTGTATAAACCTGCACATCCTGTGCCATTTCCATGAGTAACAGCTGCCTGTATTGTAAGAATACACAGACCTTTACCTATTCACTGCCTAAAACTGATGTTTCAAGCAGACATTTTAGAACATATGCACAGCAACACATTCAGAAAACTCTTGTTTTGCTCCAAGCAGAGAAAAACAACTTGCTACACACAATTCAGTGATCCACGTGCTGCACGTCACTGGTGCTCAGGTGATTCTGCCACCATGCCTTACATAAAACAGGGTCATTAACAGAAGGAAGAATTGAGAATGGCAGCTCTTGGCACAATAATAATTATACCATACAAGACTTACCTGATCAGACTTGAGAAAAAAAAATTCAAGGGTTTAAGATAATAGCAGAAACTCAGTGGAGATCCATTAGGGAATGTTCAGTGTGTTACTCAGGGCATCTTTCACAAGTTTAAAACATTTGATCTGGATGGACACTGCACTATCTGAACACTACCATTAAACTGGGAATACCACTCCCAAACCACAACACAACACTACCAGGGAATGGAGTAACAGGTGAGGTCAGGGTGGAGGAACCAAGAAATGGCAGTTCAGCACAAACATCCTGGGGGAACATGAAATCAGGGAGAAGTGAATATTATCAGAGCCAAAAGGGATGGAAAGAGAACCTGTACACAAGATTGCTAGGCAACTTACAGGCCTGAGTTAAACAAAAAAACCAAACACGCAACAAAACCACACTGAACATGCCAACTCCCAGCAAAAAATGAAAAAAATCACATTAATTACAATCCAAGGACAAATTGTTCTACTTGACTCCCTTCTCACACATGCAAGGCTGGCTCACTTCCTGATCCTGCTCCTTCACTTACTCGTGGGCTTTTATCATTTTAGAAGTCAGGCTGCAAGACTGAAGACATAAATCTAAACTTACTCCCTGGGTATGAATCCCATGGCTGTGTTCCAGTTACCTGGCACAGACTTTGAAAAGCCCAATTTCAACCAGCCACTCCCAGAACACCCATTTTTCCAGCCAGGATCAGGCAATGCTTTAGAAAGTAAGTGCAAACCCTGGAAGTTCCTGGTGCTGTGTTATTCACAGAGAAAACCATCTCTCTGAGGGTACTGGCTCAGCAACAGCTGGTTATCAAAATTCAGTGTACTGGGGCTTGATCCTCAGTAAAAGGGGGACTTTCCAAGGAATCAGGGAGGAATCACTGCTCGTTGCTATTCCAACTCACATGTCCAGATGTCATGAGCCCAGCAAGACCCAACCAGTCTTATCAAACACTAAAGAAACAAAAGCAAACTGAGGGTCTCAGAAGCTCCAAACAACCTTTTATTCCTGCTCAAGCTTACTGAGACAGATGTTATCTAGCACTTAAGACACCAAACCAAATTAGTTTTTGCACTTTTAATTATATAACTTCTTGTTTGCAGAGATAAAACCTTTACATAAGTAGAGGCATTAGAAAACAAATGCCACTTCACAATTTCTCCAAGTATCCCCCCTCCAGCTCTAACTGTGCTTCTGCAGCTGCCAACAAGAGCTGTGGTTCTCATCTCACAAACCTTTTTTCCACTAGAGGGAAAGTCTCACTATACACAACAGATCCAGACTCAACAGTATTCAACATTTCCATCAAGTCTCTGTGTATGTCACCAAGAATTCTGAAACTAAATACTGAGGAGAGGGCAGCTATGCTCTTCGATAATTAAAAAGAATTAATTAGTTCAACTCAAAGTCAAGCTGGGTATTTTACAACCAAAGTACATTTGGCACCTGCAGGAAGGACCTACAGAATAAAATCCTGGGAAAAAAACCCTCAGAACTTAGTAATTACAGTAGGTAAGCATCTTGAGATGTGTTGCCATGACCAAAAAAGGGGAGAAAAAGCACTTTGTACACTCCTTTGGACAGACAGACACGAGGAGTGTACAGTGGTTATCTCACCTTTGCAAGGGACACTGGAATGCTGAGTCCTGCTCCAGTATCCAGAGTTTTAAAAGAATGTTGAAAAATTGGACAGGGTGCAGAGAAAAGCCACAGAAGTTATTCAAAAGGAGGAGAAAATTTCTCACAATTTCAAAAGAAAATATTTGAATGTTAAAAAGATTGAGCTGTGTACAGGAAGAATCCTGTGTTCAAATAATAAAAAAATACGAGCTATTTTCAAAGTTTAACATCAAACAGCACAACAAAATTAAGAGCATAACAAAATTAACAGCTGCAAAGTTAAGGCACAAGTCATGTTCAAAATGAAGTGAGTTTTAATTTAAGAGAACAAACCAACAGAACAAGCAGGAAAGACGTGCTTAATATTCTACCTTTTCACTTCTTATAATCCAGACTGTGTTTTTTCAGAGCCACATTTTGGACTTCCTTAGTATCATATTCAAAGGCCAAGTGGATGACACATAATGCTGCATGATTTATGAGCTCAGATGTGTTTATTAATTAACCCTGATGACCTCTAACTCTGTGAGTCTGTCGGCCTGATCACCTTTCCAAAGCAGGAGCAAGATGACCAGGCCTCCCCACAACACAACACACACTGTGACCCATCTCCATGCTACAAACTGACCTGAAGGCTTCTTTAAGAAGTCTGAGATACTGCAGAACATAAAATATATAAAATACTGAATATAAAATGCTTTTTCTAATGTACTTTGATATAAGTACATTAGAAACTTGTCGTCATCACTGGCATTGTGTTTTATGGTACTTTTTACACAAGAATAAAGGTTGTCCTTGCAAAGAATTCAACAATGCAAATCTAAAGAACTGATCTTGAAGTTCCAATTTATTCATGTCTGCAACTCCATTTTTCCTGTTTAGGTCAAACCTTTTTAATGCAATTAACAACTGATTCACATTTGTACAATAAGGCTGGTTTCTCAAAAAGCTCAAACCACTATGATCTTTTATATCCACAGATCAGATTGTTTAGAGCTTGAGGAACAATGACACCTACCAGCAACACTGTCCTACAGATACATAACGGGAACACCACAGATGCAAATGTCAGGGGAGGTTTTTAATCCCAAATTTGAGCAGAAAGATAAGAAAAGGAAAAAAAAACACAATGGTTTTGGACAAAGTCAGAGCAGAAACAAAAGAAAACAAACTACAGCAAGAATTCAAGAAGTAAAGGACACTCCTTAAAATAATGCAGCTTTTTTTCCACGTAAGAGAAAATGAATAATTGTGACAATAAGAAGAATAAACTAATTGAAAAAAGATGAGCTGCTTCAAATCTGGCCACGATGTAGCTGAAGTTCTTGCTATTATATTTATAGACAAAGTAAAACCACATCACAGAGGTAGAAGAATTTCTGCTGAAATTGCAGCAACCTCATGAGACAGTGTGCTGTGCCATGAAACACTGTGCAGAGTTGCCAGCCACAACACAATCAGACCCAGGAGCTGAATCAAAGCCACTCCAGGCTGCTCCTGCTCCCTCTCTCCTGTCCCAAATGATCTCAAAGGAACAACTGACTTGCAAGTCCCAGAATCACAGAATCAGCGAGGCTGGAAAGGAGCTCGAGATCATGGAGTCCCCTCTGAGTCATTCTGTCCAGACATCAAGGTCCTGTCAGGCCAAAGGAGGGATCCAAGGTCATGTATCTGGTGTCTGTCCCACTCAGAAGGGACACAAGGCAGAGGAGAGGCCATCACTTGTGGATGAAGAAGGGCTGATGCCAAGGTGTTTTACGCTAAAAAAGGGGAGCTTTTGTTCTGCTGTAAAGGTGGGAAACTCCATTCTGTGAGTCTGTGGCCATCCCCTTTCAGTTTTAGGGGTCTGGGCAGCTTTGGTTCCTGATCAATGAGGATGGAAAAGAGGAATTGGTGCTCAGAATTTAACAGACCTGAAGAGCCTCGTTAGGCTCATGAAATCCAAGGCAGCTCAGCTTTGAAAGCTTCTGCTCAGCCTTCCAGGCTGGTGCTTCCCCAGGGATGGGCTCTGATGCTCAGAGACTCCAGTAACACCCACATGCCTTTATCCACAGCTCCCCATGGCTTCACACACGTAAACTTTTCAGAAACATCCAATCACAAAGCATGCTCTGCCTTTGCATTCTGTATTTTGGGGTGAAATAAACAACCAGGTACTATTTAAAAGGCAGAAAGTGCCATATTGCAACTTGTAGATGCAAAAATATGCCATTTAAACTGGTGGCTGCTTTTGTCATTTGCCTTCTGAAATCCAAAAATGTACATTTAGATGGAGTTTAAAGTAGCTAAATCAATATAATCTGGAAAAGAAGCCTGCACATTTCAGCAGCCTGATTGTGCCACAAAAGGCTTCCAGGTTATCTTCCACAGGAGAGCTCAAAGCAACATTTCCTTTTAGTTCTGTTTGGGTTTGGTGGTTTGTTTTTCAGTTGGCAGGGGAAGGAAGGGGGAGTGTGGTTATGAATTTTTTATATTTTTTTTTGTACAATGCCCCTCATTTTTCCTCCAACCACTGCTTTACTTGCAAGGTTTGGGAACTTCCCCCTTGCTTCTATATGAAGTTATCAGCTTGAAGGTTACAAACACACCAGTCAGTCCTCTAAACCAAGCACTTCTGGTCAAACTCTCACAATTTTGCTCTGAAATCATACTATTTGAGTATTTTGCACTGCAATTAAAAATTAAAACATGGTTCCTCAAACAAAAATAAGTCCTAGGTAGAAAGAACCAAATTAACAGTATGAGCATGAATTCCCATCTCCTTTTTTCCTTATTTATTTAGGCTTACCCAGCTGTGGGAGCCTGTATTGAAGCACAGTAATCCCGAGTAGTAATCCAGAGGAAATTAATTTTGGCAATTTTTTTATATTTATAAAATATGCATTTTGTCCTTAATAGGTATTGCTATTTTGACAGCAGTAAACAGAGAGGTCAAGGGTGACTTATTTAATTTTTCATTCAACAGTTAAGCAAGCCAAAGAAAAGCAAGTTGTTTTTTTCAAAACAGAAGGGGAAAAATAAATTAAAAATAAAAATCTAAATCAAGATTGTCCTGTGAAGGCCCATGAACTAGAGCTTTGTGATTCCACCTTTCAGAGCCAAGGCTGGCAGGACACACTTTGTCATTCTGGCACCACGGGGAATTCTCTGCCAACTCCTTCAAGTGTCAGTGCTTGCACACAAGGTTTCACTGCTGCAACAACAGCAAAACACAACCCTGCAGAGATGATGAAATCGGTTCTGAGGCAGCACAAAACATCAGGACTGATCTGTGTGATCCCACACACACACCTGGGTCCCTCTGTGTCCTCCCTGTGCCTCCCTGGGACTGAGTCCAGCCCAACGAGCCCAGTGGAACTCTGATTTTGTGCTGTGCCCAGTTTAGGCCTCACTTTTGAGGCTGCTCTAGGCTGAAATGCTCTCTACATTCACACCAAATACACCACCAGAGTTCCAGTGAGTGCTTCAAAAAAAGAAAAATGAAAAAGGAAAATTAAAAACTCAATGGTAAGAAATCTGTGGGAAGATTTTTTTTTTTCCCCTTACACACAAATAGTTCATTCCACTGGCTGATCCTGCAGGGCCAGCTCGTGCACACAGCTTGGCTGCCACTTCTTAAGCTGTCCCTGCAGATCACACGAGATTCAAAGAGTGAATTTTAGAGAGAACAGATCATTTAGCCAAAGCCAAAAGGACATCAAACGTTCAGTTTTCAGTTAACAGCTGAGTAACTGGTTAAGCAGGAGTCTCTGCTGTGCTGTGCTCTCCATTCCCCTGACCCCTGTCTCCCTGCAGAATAGGCTCCCTTTGAGCATCAAGGAAATGGAAATTTCCACTGACAGGTTCCCCAGCTTTTGCATTTTTGCATAACATTGATAGTGCTGCACAACACAGACAAGTGACTGTTCTTTCATCTTCCTGAACAAACCAGCCTCTTTCCAACACATCCAACCAAGGCTCTTTTCTGGCCTCAGCATCTCCAGGTTTCTTGCATGCTTTCCTTAGGAAAATAGGAAAATCACTGGCAAGTCTCTAATTAGGATAAAACCAAATCTCTCTTCCCTAAATGGCTAAGAATATGTGTTTAGAAAAAATTAGCAAATTTGCCTGGCTGTTAGAGGATCATATACAGATCCAGTTTTTCATTCCAACAGTGGGCATCAGACAATATCCACAAGGCATCAGAAAGAATTCTAATTTTACTCAACTTTTAAAGGAAACAATCCTGTGTTGGGCAATGGCAGTTGATGGCCACATAATTTCTAACATGTAGGACCATTTGAAAGCAAATAGTTTCAAATGGTTCCTAGGAATAAGTGCTGTTTCAAAAGAAATAAGTGTTCCTAAATTCAAGACTATTAAATTCCTTCAAGCACTGTAACAGCCTCTCCTCACACAGCTTCTAAAAGCAACGTTTGAGACTTTCCATTACAAACTCATATATATTTTTAAAAGCACATATATTGATGAATTTATACATAAGCAGGAGTGACTTCCTCCTAAAGCATTCAAAGTCTTGTTCAGAAAGCAACTCCTGCAGTAACTGTGCCACATACAGAGGCTGCAAATTTATAAAAGTAACCATCAGACACAGGAAAGGAATAAATATTGACAGAAGCAAAGGTATGAATATACATCTAAATTGTAAAGAATAAAATGCCAAAATAAGTAAAAACAAACAACAAAAAAATCAGTCACAACCCTACATTCTTAAATTTCCTACTAACTTGGCCAAAGTGATCTCCCACAGCAGCCTTTGATCTCACATTCTGTATGTTCAACAGCAGAGCTGCTGCAGAATCACAGAATGGTCCTTAATCCTTCTGATTAATGAAGATATTCCTTCACTCCTGGCAGAGTAACAGTCCTGTCACACAAATGATTGTTAAATCAGTAAGAAATACAGCAAGAAGGATGCTCTCATCAGTTACTGGAAGACACAAGCTTCCAGCTCCCTTCTCACTGCTGGTGGACAGCTTTGGTATCATGATGAAAGAAGCATTTCACCTTCAGTACTTCATTAAAGATTGAGACTTGCGAGACTGTGACAATTCCCTCCCATCCCCGTGGATCTGGGAATATGAACTAAAGCAAAGGCATTTGCAGTGTATTCCATGTGCTCTTTGGGTTGAACTCTGACCATGCTGCTTAGGCAGAGCATGACCACTGCCCAAAAACCAAAATACTCCTTTAAAACAAAGGAAAAAAAAAGAAAAAGAAAAAAAACCCCGCAACTGGTTGGATTTTTAAGCCCTCCTTTCCCTAAAAATCCCCTAACAGAGTGCTATGCAGAGACAGGTAACACCACCTCAAAGTGACAATTCTTGCCTCTCGAGTACCATCAGAAGTCAGAGAGGCTGGAAGGACCTACCAGTGCCACACAGGGATCTGCTGCATCCTCTGAGGAGAGAGGCCTAGAGCTGCATTCAGGCTGCTGCACTCAAGTATGTCCCACACATTGCCAGGTGTTGTGGTGGGCAGGAACTGTGCCACAGGGATCCACAACAGAGCCACAGGCACAGCTACAGAACCAAGGGTGTGAGGAGTCACTGAACATCCAGAGACACAGCCCCAGCTCCTGCGTGGACACCACACATCCCACCCCTGGGGGCACATCCAGAGACACAGCCCCAGCTCCTGCATGGACACCTCACCCCTGGGGGCACTGCAAAGGTCTTGGTCAAACTCACTGTGCACATAAACCAGACCCAGTATCCCCTGTGGAACCACTCCCATCACACCAGCACGAACAACCTGGGGTTTATGGACACTGCTGCACTTACACACTCTTGTTCTGCTCCTGAACATCCTACCAGCATGTCCAGAACTTCTGCCATAAAAGATGGTCTGCAGTGGCTGCTGTGATGCTCATGGCACACCCAGGCTGGCAACAGAAACACAGAGCACCTTCTCCCTGCTGCTCTTCAGCTTGGCTGCAAAGGTCTGTGGTGCCAAGAGAGGCAGAACGGAAACCAAAGGAACAAGGGCAAGAAAACCCAGGAACATTCCAGGGGTTCCACTGGTTTTGCTTTGCAAACCACCTGGATCTGCCCCACCTACAGCTCCCAGTCACAGCTCTCAGTCCATCTAATCTATACACCAAGATTCTCAGGACTTCATCAATAGATTATGCAGAGCACAAAGGATCATTTAATTTCACATTCCACTTTCATTTTAGACAAGTCATTCAGGCTTAGAAATGAAGCAAATTGCAACATTAATAAATTACATTAAAAAATTAACAAAAAAAATCACACAGAAGCCTAAAAACCTCTGAGATGCCAACAGTATTTATAAAATTACTGTTATAAAATAAAACAGAACATTGGCACAACTGTATCTATACTGTCCAGAGAAGTTGATATACTGTCCTTGAAGTTGACAGATCTTTTGCTAGAGTGACTTAACATGTTGATTTTGTGACCTGTGTTTATGCAACCCAATCTGCAAGTTTAACTCCTAATACAGCATGAAAATAGAGACTTGTACAACAGGAATGTGCTCTGCCAGCAGTTCTCTTCCTCGGCCTCCTCGGATCTGAGAACACATTAAGCACTGGCAGTCAATGTTTAATAGCCATGTGTGTAAGCAATTCAAAACACCTGATTTTCACAGAAAGCACATAATTTTCTGCACTCCTACCCGATGATTGTATTAATCTGTGTAAGAAAATATATGTAGCACATTTGTCCTAATATAAAAAAACCCCTAGGTTAAGAGAGAACAACAGGCTACTGTAAATACAGCATCTGTCAAAGTTAAATAACCAGAGGCTGCATTTTTATCCACTTCATCCACAAAGGGTAATTGCTGGCAGTTGCAGGAAGTTTTTCCTTCCAAAGAGAATCTACCAGAAGTCAATTTTAGTTCTATTTAGTGTAGTTTAATCTTGCTACATTTCAAAGCTCACGCTGCTGTTGGCATTCAAAATAAATCCAAGTATAATGCATACTTTACTCAGCACAAAGGACACTCACACACAACCTTAAGCAACGGCAGAAAGTAAAGTTCAAAGACCAAACACAAGCCAGATTTGCAGCTATTTTTAACAGAGTGAAGTGCAGGAACTTACAGTGAGATTCCAGTTGATCTGTGGTATCCTCGTGTGAAGATTTAGGCTGAACAGAAGCAGGAGAGCCCCGGTGACCACGAGGGCACTGCAGCTCACAAACTCAAAGAAGTACAGGCCCTCGCAGGGGGAGCATTCCATGATGGTCTCGATGCAGATGAACGCTGTCAGCGCCAGAACCTGGCAAGAAAAACAAGTGGAAAAAAAAAAATAAATAGATTTCCGCGTTTTGAAAGTAGCCACAAGTATTCCTGAAATTTCCATTGGGAACAGGATCAGTTTACACTCAGGAATGTGTGATTTTAGTTTACAACAGGGCACTGTCTAAGGAGCAGAAACAAAAGCAAATCAGTGCAACGACTTTGTTGGTTTGTCCCGTTTAACAAAGGGCATTTTAGAAAAATTAACAAGGAGTCTTAACATCAAATTGGCCAAGACACCCCAAAAAGCAGGAAACCCCTTCAGGCCACTGGCTCAACATGCAAACAGCACCTCAAACATTTTATGCCATTTTCCACACATGATATGCTGTTCCAAAACTAGAAGATGGAATGCATTTGTCTACTGGGCCAACCTCAAGCACAATTACATAATATCAATGTCATGTGATTGTGAAAGACATTTCAATGAAGACATTACTTATAATTCACAACCAGCTGAGATCTAAACCAATTCCAAATAGAATGGATTCAGCATCTCCACCAGTCTCCAAAAATGCCTGCCTTTTTCAAGTTTATCATCATCAGTATCCTGTATTTCATATAAAAACATGTTTTATCATTCCCTTATACAACAATAAAACAAGCAGTTCATTGAGGAAGGAAAACCTCCTGGGGCTGCAAACACAAACATGTAACTGGGATAATGGTTAGTGACACTAAATTCAGGAGATATCTTGGCAGAGTTGACACATGCAGACTTTGACAAGACAAGAGTTTAATTCACCATTTAGGATAAAATGCAAACTCACTATACTTTAAAAACGTCTGCCCAGTGGACAAAACTAAACTATATAAAAATAAAACCTCAATATGAGCTACCACAGAGAGCCACCCCAGAGACAGCATTAGAGCCCCCTGAGAGCACCACAGAGCACACAACTCACACAGGCCGGGTCAGAGTCCTCCTTAAATACAACTGGGAAAACAAAAACAGTGCCATGGATGGTTTGGGTTTGTTGTTTGGGTTTGTTTTTTTTTTTCATTTTCCAGGGCAAGCAAGGAAGGCCTTAAGACTGTTTTGCTCTGGATTTCAGGACAACCACTCCCACCCACCCACTTACATTTTTCAGAAAGAATTCTCTTCTTGCTCTGCCACAATATTCTAATGAGGCTGGAGAAGTCACTTCAATTTGAGGATGAGAAACTAAAGGAGATGGTTTCCTCAGAGCTAAATATTCCACAATTTAAAGGTTTTTTACAAATAAAAGTTTAAAAGATGATAAAAACCATAATAAAAATCAATTTCTACCAAACCTTCTTGGCCAATGTCAATGTATGCTTCATCCATTAGCTTGTCTTTGATTCCTACGACAAAACTAACAAAGTGAAGATGGATTTTGAAAGAAGTTACAATTTTTGTCACCAACACCACCAGTAATTCTAATTAAAGCATAGTATCCCTCCTGCTTCATTTGCCACCTACAGTAGCAAATTTAAGTTGAAAAATGGATTAAAACAAAGCAAAACGATTTTAATAAAAAACCTCCCACTTGGTTGGAAAGTCTCTCATAGCTCACTGGGCACATGCTCATGAGGAGAGCACATGCCATACTAATTTCTGTCAGCTAACAGAGCAGGGTAATTCCCATCAAACAAATTCTGAATGTGTACCCAGTGACTAAACACTTCAGATTTTAATCTTTGACACTGAATAGTTTTGGAAAAAAGATCATGCAGTGAAATGGAATATTCAGAAAAGCTGAATCAAAGTATGATTTCAGCAATGACACACGTACAAAAAAAAATTCCTGTTCAGAACACGGCCTGATTTTAAAGTATTAACATGTAATAATATTAGCATGTAATTAGCATGTCTGTGAACACAAGCCTCATTACTGAAGATGACACTGAATACAATTTTCAAAAGGTAAAGCTCTAAAAATCAGTCTTAGCAGTTCCAAGAAGGGTCAATGTCATGTATTAATGCTAAATATTAGCCAGCAGAACTTTACCTTTCAGATGTTCCAATATAATAACGTCTCTATTTTTCTTGCCACTATTTTGGATCTGACACTTGTAAACTTTTTATTCTTTTAACAGAAATGCTTCTGCAATATTCACTAGAAATACTGTAGGACAAGCCCCCAACAATAGTAGGTTCATTATCTCAAAACATGAACAGGTCTGAATTGTGCTGCCAACACGAGGTTGAAGGAGCCAAAATCTCTGTGCTGGGCAGCTGGAACTTGGCACGTGGGGTCTCTGGTGTTCTGCTGATAAAAGTCCCACCCTGACTCTTCTCCCCAGCAGACAGTGCTGCTTCTTCAAGGCCAACACACCCATCGTGGCTATCAAAGCTCAAAAAACATCAAAGGGTTTCTTGCATCCAGCATTAGAAACTAATTATGTGCTGAAGAGGCACTTGGAGCAATGAACTCTAATAATCGTGTGATATTTACATATTCCCAGGCTCTGAATTAATAAACTCCAGAGCAATTCTACCTTTAGAGTTCGTTTTATCCCTTAAGAAACTATAAAACACATTTACCTGTGACACACCCTTGTTGGCTGTGTACACTTAGGTTTGATTTAATTAAACCATTTCTGATGCAAGTAAAGATGTGCCATCAGTTCAACAACGTCCAGCAGCACCAGGGGACAGAGGTCTGGGGTCTGTTGATCTGCTCAGCAGAGGCTGGGAGAAAACCTCAACTCTTCAGTGTCTGCTGGAGATCCTGGCTCCAAAGCAGGAATGTGCACAATGATTGACTGCACAGGAGCATTCTCACAGAGGGCACTGGCACACCTGAACACCTCCTGGCCAGGGGACAGGGAGGGGACAACACTCCCACACACACAGTTTGCTTCTAACACTTTGGTACTTCCAACTAAATGTGTTACTCTTTTTCTTGCAATAAAAATACATCTCACCCTTCTCAAAGATTATCCACCCTGCCAGTGCTACGGCGCTTTCTGTTACCTGCCTGTTATTTGTCTTACAACAAAGCTATGAAAAAATGAAATTCAAATTAACCACTACATCAGAAAAAAGCTACCCTATCACAGAAACTTCCTTTTTCCTAATCACAATAAAAATCTCAGTCTTCAATACAAAATCCTTTCTCTTTGAAACATCAGGATAATCTTGCTCTCCTACACATTTATGAACTTGCCAGCAGCATCCTTCCAATTAACTACAAGTAATATGAATCTGCTATTAAAACATACCAGTTCCACTTTCACTGACCATTCCCTCAGAGATGAATCTAATTTTGTTTTTAATAAAGAAGCAAATCACTCTGAACACATGAAATGAAAGTGAAATACATGGGGTTGATTCTACAACCCCGCGACTTACTCAGAGAGCTACAACACTTTAAAGTGTTGTGTAAATGCTGCCACTCAAGCCAAAGCAGCTTGTCAAAGGTCACAGCTCAGCCAGTGAGCAAGTGCATTGAAAAAAAAAAAAGAAAAAGAAAAAAAGAATGTGTTAACATTTATTTTCTCGGTATTTTTAAATTTATGAAACAAGTAATTTATGAGACAGGGTACACAGATGAGGCAGTGAATTAACACAGTTCTGCCACCCAGATACCCCTTATGACATGGCCACAGAGCAGACTGAGGTGCCCCAGAATGTCCCACTGCAAACTGCAGACACACCAAAATTCAGGCTCGGGCTCAGCTCCCCCACCCTACTTTCTGAGGGACTTCGGTGCAGGTTCAGTGCTAATTTTCTTCTGTTCCCACACAGATCTCTGTAACTATAATGAAAACACCTTCTTTCTCCCCTATGTTTACCTCCACTCCCTGTCTGACCACCCATCAGTGCCCACCATGGGCTCATCTACACACAGATCACATCTCACCAAGGCTCAAAGAACTAAAAAGTTGCTTCTCCAGAGCTTCCCATGCTCTTCCCTCTGCAACATCACACATCTAAGATAAAACTGGTGCCACATTGGCTGCACACACTGCCCTGGGAAGAGCAAGGAAGGAGCAGGACCCTCCAGCCCCCGGGAAGCCCCCACGCTCCAGCCAGAGTGGCACTGCCCCGGGTGACAGGCACAGAGCTACACCACAGAAACCCGCCACTCACCAGCTGCTAAAGCTCTGCCCTTGCTTTGGAACACTCCAGAAACCAAGATCCAGGACCCTGTGTCTGCCTCCCACCACTGCAGTTCCAACACTAGCTAAAAAAATCAGAAAACCAAAGGAACAGCATCGCATCAGAGCACAGGCCTCAGCCAACAGAACGCTGGCATTTGTCCAACACAGGAGACAAACCCCCCACTTCCAAATCACACATCTTTTCATAGTTCAGGGTGATGAGATTTGACAAGTTTTTCCACAAGCAGAAGTTTCAAGGTTGGTTTACCAAGGAAAAACGAGAAGTTGAATGTGGTGGAGATCTCCTCTTACATGAATTACTGCTCTCTCCCACAAATAACACAGCTACAGCTTTCTCGGGCCCAGGCAACGAAGCTAGTTTTCTCTGATGGATGAAACAAACCTTTTCATTGGTTTTTCTCTACACCAAATACTTTGGAGAGCTTTATATTTCATCCCAGTTCTTCCAATACCCTAAGATTTGTATAGCACTCTTTTATTACTGTAGTTCTCTTTTTAACATTTGCTTTTTGTTTCTTTTCTACTTCCACTCTTCTTGAAGTAACTACAGTGGATATTGCATCAGAACACAACTCTGTTGTGATGGAAACATCTGCTCACTGCACTGGATGCTCAGCTCCAGGCAGAGGCATCCTGGGCTCCCTGCAGTGTCACCTTTGTCCTGAACAAAGAGATGCAGGAGTGTGGTCACCAAAGCAGGATCCCAAAGAACAGGGTAAGCTCAGGGTAAGCTGAGCTGGGTATGCCCAGTGTGTGAGTGCAGCTCCAGCTCTGGGACAGAGTAAACATGTCCTGCCCTTCATCCACCACCTCCCACCACCACGGAACCAAAGGCAGAAGGAAAAACCTCCAAGCAGAGGAATAAGGATGAGACATATTTCCCAATAA